TGCACATTGTGAGTATAAGCCTATACAGGCAAACATATTTACACATACGGTATGCTACAATGCATCTTGCAGAATTTTAAATAGCTTGCTGCAAAGTGTGGTTAAGTTACAATCCATCAAACTAAAATCACTGTTCCTCCCTCTGATGAGCAATGATACATTCAGTGGCACTGTGGCCAGTCAGTCACACTGTAGTAGACCCCCATCATACATCAAACAACCCTAATCACTGTGACTCTAACATTTCCCCTCATACTCAAAGAAGCCATGGGAATTAAATAATCATTATATGTTGCTATAACTGCACCATGGCAGCGCCATGAAGCTTGTTAGCTCAGTACAAGAAGGGCTACAAGAAAATGGTCACTCACCGAAGTCATGAAAAACAGAGATAATGAGAATGGAACATTTTTGCAGAAATTGGGATTATTAAGTCAAAAATGAGTTACAATAACTGGTTGCTGCAGCTATGAGAACCTTCACTTAAGAAAGGTTAAGAAATTAAAGACTGAAAGTAAAAACAGAAAATCTACAAAAGGTCAGAGCTCTGACATGACTACTCTAATTAGTGTTACCTTCGAAGAAGATGAGGTCTCCCTCTGCAGAAAAACTTTCTCTTGCTCCTGCTTTGCGAGTAAGACAGCCTGGGAGAAGTCCTGTCCATTGCATTAAATCCTCTTTCAACAGTTCCCCCCTGTACAAAGCCACTTGCCTCCATTTGTCTTTTGCAATACTTTAGCCAATTTTAACATTGCTCATATGCAATATATAAAGACTAATTTCTAACCTTAAACACGCACATTTCTACTATTATCTACCCACCTTTTCTTGATTTTTTCTTATTTGTCAGGGCCGGTACTCACCGGTACCAACACTTCTACATTTTACTCTTCTGCAATTTAGCTGGGTAGCCCTATACTGTCACTAGCAAGTTGCTTAGGGCCCTTCATATTTTGATGAAACGGAATTATCCTTCTGGTCACAAAAAGAGAGAAAAAAACAGAGTTTATCTAATCAGGTAAACTTGTGTTTACTCCTCTCCAAGTTTGAAGTCAGCAAATAACAGTTAACGTTGAGATAAGAAAGAAATGAAATGAAACCTGTGCTTTCTAGCAGCATCCTCTCTGGGGACCAGTACAGTGGCACTCCTATTTTTAAAACAAAACAATGATTATCTGTCTCTCAATCAAGGTTTAGTTACAACTCTAGACTAATGCAAGATAGAAAGCAATGGATTGACACTGATATTGATTAAATATTGAATTTAAAATGTTGATTAGCTGGGAATGTGGGCAAATGGCTGCACATCTCTCAGTAAATAATAAACATCAAGTATTCAGCCAAACCGTAGTTTAAATTGTTGAGTAACTTGAATTATTATTGAAAGTGCAACCAGTTATAATGAATGCCATTGTTAAATAAAAATTAAGGTTTTACTGAATTTTTAAATTCTGTTTGTCATGTCAGCAACCCGCGACAAACACAACCATACTAATAGTACTTTTTACATTTGATACTATTTTTTAACTTAAGTAGAAATTTAAAGAGGTGGTATTATGCTCATTTTCAGGTTCAAGATCTTATTTAGGGGTTGTACCAAGACAAGTTTACATGGTTTAAATAAAAAAAAAACACCATATTTTTTTCATACTGCACATTCCTGCAGCTCCTCTTTTCACCCTGTGTTGAAGGTTTCGTTTTAGCTATGGAGAGTGATGAGTAATACATATTGTCTCTAAATGATCTGAGTTGCACATGCGCAGTTTCTTGTTAAGGACTACTAGCCAATCAGAAGCAGAGAAGGGCGGGTCAGTGAGAAGCAAACGCAACGTACATGTTGCCGACCAGCTTGGCAACATAGACTGGAGCAAGAGTTTCAGAGTGGTGAGTTATTAATCTGTAACAAAAGTATCTTTCATCCATAAAGTTTTAACTGAGCTCTGTCTCTACATCACAGTAGCAACTTTATGTCCATTGACTGCCTGGAGGGTAGCTAGTGTTTGGAAGGGAGAGGAGAGGTGTGCTGCAGCTCAGTGTTTTCCTACCAATGTTTTTGAGGGCGTGTCGGACTAACCACTTGGAGAGCGCTATATGAGGCGCATTTAGCTTTCATCCCTGTGACGTCACAGGGATGAAAGGGAAACGGCTGTACTACAAATGAGCTGTTCAGGCAGTTCAGAGCAGAGTTTTCTGTGGGAGATGGGAACTCCCTTTGTGCTGGACTTTGGGCTTTTTCACTTTGCAAAGTTATTACATGCACAAAAAAGGTATATAAATCAATAAAGGAGAGGGGAAAAGCCAAAAAGCATAATACCACCTCTTTAAATTGAAGAATTCTACTTTTAGTGGAGTAATATTTAGCACGGGTATCTGTACTTTTACTCAAGAACAGGGTTTTTGTACTTTTTCCACCACTGTGGAGTACTGGCACTTATTTTTTTCCACTTCAAGCACTGTTCCTCTGTACCAACAAGTGCCTTCCTCCTGCATATAGTCAGAAATGAGGTCTATCAGTCTCTATAAGTCATCTTATTGAGTCTCTGAGGGCCCTCCAAGTCTCCTGGATCTGGCAAGTCCAGTTCGATGCTCATATAATGCTGCATATTAATGCAGGACAAATATGATTGTTCATGTTCTCAGAATTGCCCTCAGGAACAACTGGCTCTTATCCATCCCTGTTTATTTGGCTTCACTTTTGCATAACGGGAGGAAATAGTTACCCGTTGTCTTCATATACATTCTATTGTGTGCACCCAGTGCTTAAACCATCCACCACTCCGCAATGATTAAGTGCAGAGACAAAAGCCTCATTAGGATATACAGCTAAAGTGAAGAACCACTGTAATATAACAGACACTCACAGTAACGCACACATTAGCATGTTGTGTATATCTGCATTAAGTGTGTTTTGCCTTACAATGCAAAAGGCAGCACCAGTTCCTTCTGCTGATGCATGTCAGTCTTTCCAAAATGAAGAAATATTCCTCTGTCTCAGCCCACTCTAAGCCGCTTCCACTGTGCTCAGGATGTCATACAGTATGATGGGAGCTACCGAGGTCTGGGGGTAATTGGCTTTGTAAAAATCTGAGTCAAAATGCAAATTTATGTCAACATTTTTGCAGGTGTTTCTACTTTTATTGAATAATTTGGAACAACAGATTACAAACAAACTTCAACTTGTGACAGGTCTATAAATAAAATCCACGAAACCCAGCTGAATTACTGATTGCAATCATGAATACCATTAATGACGCCTTGCAACTGCATATACAGTATCTTTTGTTTGGATCAGAGTTTTAGTATCACGTAGAGGCAAACTATACAATAACTGTCCTGCAGCATTTCAGTGCAAATGCCGTATGTCCAAATGAAGAGGAGGAGGAGGAGGAGGGCATGCTGATTGGAGGAAAAGCATCCCATACTGTGCAGCCTTAATTGTTTTCTACAAACAAAAACATTTAGTTAGGGCTGAACAAGCCATGTTGAATTGGGGTTTCCCTCAGGCAAAGCCTAGACCTATGTTCTTTACTCAGTTACTTGTATTATCTTCATATTGTTGTTCTGACTTTGTGTATGAAAACATTGCTGCTGGTAATCTATCTATCTATCTATCTATCTATCTAGTTCATACAATCAGCAGGATACATAAAACATAATTATGCATTTTATATCAGGATGCTGTTATAAAATCTGAAAGTAACATTCAAAAATAACACCTTAATTAGCCAGTGGTAAACATCATAAACATGACTGGATACTGATTCACTACACTGTGTCAAATCTAATTAATAGTGAATAGTTAAGTAATAATAATAAGTTCTTACAAACAATGTACAAAGAGTAAGTAACCAATGCTGGGCTTTGATTAGCTGACTCATTAAGTCCTGGGTTTTCTTAGTGATAGCCTGTTCATCTTTTTCCATCTTTCATCTGAGGCAGATATATGCAGTCAGTTAATCGCCAACTGTATTTATTGTAATTATGTCCAGATACTATAAATCAGCAAGCAGAGCTTTATAACTTATGCACTCAGCAGTAATTAAGCAATTATTGGTTATTCAGGGGAATCAGGAAACAAGTGTATCAGCCAACAATGGAATAATACATCAGATAATATGGAAATAAAGCATAAACACTGCAAAATGGACCCAATGAACACTTCATGAGCTGTGTGTTGTGTATTTCTGACCAAGGAGGTCTGCTGATATGATGCAATATGACTGTAATGAACTGCCAAATGTTAGGGAAGAATGCATAAATTTGCCAATCAAGCTTTCTGGGACTTTCATAGCTTCCTGTGTAGTAGCCATGTCTGTCTCAGGCTTCATGCAAGATAATTAGCTCACCATGTGACTGGCCTTTAAAAGAAAGGGGCTTCTCACTTTTTTAGTACCAGATGTGGCACAGAGACTAACATGTTTATAAATGGCTCATTAGTACTTCTGCATAAATATAAAGTGTCTTCTTACATGATTAAGTCAGATGCAGTATTTTCTGCAGTGCTGTAACAATCTGCTCTGACACTACCCAGTCTACCCACACCTTGTACGGACGTGGGCAATTTTCTCACTTCCTTTGTAAGCTTCTTCTCCTCTTATCTGACAATATTCATTTTCAGCAATTGAGTAACATCTGCTCATCAGCAGCACAACCTGCCATTCTAACTCTCTTTCCATTCATCGTTTCCAAACCCGCACGCCGGAGCCCATATGGCTCCCTACCTCTGTCCCTGTAGTTATTATGCCTGCCTGTCCCCCTGTGGACTGTTTTCTCTGAGTACTGCAGCAACACCGTACCGGCCATAAATCACATTGCATTATCACCACGCTGTGCTTCCCTAGCGCTCTGCCCGCCCACCGCGCGCCTCAGATTGGCCGTTTCGGCTCCTTGGCCAGCCTCTCTGAGCTCAACATCGGTGCAATCGTAAATCCCGCCTCCTTCCTTGGGACCGGTGATTGGGATAGGGGCTCTCCTTGAACTGTCAATCATGTTCTTTCTTGTGCGCCTCGCATTCAGTGCTGCTCCCTGCAACGCGCTGAGTGCGGAGCGACGAGACGCGCTGCATACCAACAGAGACGTACGGGAGCAGGCTAATTACGGCTGAAGTGGCGACTTGCGACTTGTCAGGACGCACAGACCCCATCCTGTTCTCTGACAAAAATATATATTTACTGTATGCCAAGTCATTGGATAGTTTCAATTTTACCTTTTCTTCCCATTTTCAAAAATATTGTATCTTTCCTTCAAGGCATTGAGAGCCAAACTAAGTGTCTGGGATATTTGTTTTTTTGTGCTCTGATATCTTTCCGGTTAAGAGATTCCACACAGGAGAAGACAAACCGCCCTCTCCGTCTCTCTCTCCGACTGGGGTCATCAAGAGGAAAAGTCAAGTGGACAAGACTGATGCTTTCGTCCAGTCACATGTAGAACCGCTGGACTATTGCTGTTGACATCCACTGGGTCGTTTATTATACACAGCTTCCCCGCAACGGTACAATTAAAGGAGGAATACCAAGGCATTTGGCTGCAAAACAAGCAGAAAATCAATCAGAACTCCATCATGGGCTGCCCCCTCTTGCGGAACGCGTTTGCTGGTTTGATCGTGGTTCTACTGTCGAAAGGTAAGTTCTTTCGAGCTACTTTAGCGATGTGTTGACGGTTCTGTGCTGCTGCGCCTCCACGCATACGTATCTTCGTCTTTCATTTTCTGAAAACGGTTGTGGAGATGAATACTAATGATGATGAGGGGGGCTCTACCTGGCTGTGAATCATGCGTGTCTGTTGTGCCACTGCGCTCCAGCTTTCCATTTGCAGTGACACATACAAATGTAAAAGAAGAGAGAGAATGCTGTACGTATGTGCGCGCACGCGTCTGTGTTTGTGCGCGCGTGCATGTGAGCGCAGCGCCAGGTTCCTCTCCAAGCCAACCTCGTGGTTCAGTGTAAGCAACGAGTGATGCATGCTAAGAGCTTTACTATGAAAAAAAAATTAGACTCCCTCTCATCCCCAGTCTTCTGTGAACATTCCTTTACGTGACATGAATGGCCTGGTATCCCACGCACACGACGCACCACCAGTGCAAAGAGAGAGGGGTGGGGGTGGGGGGATAACATAAGTAAGGGTAGAAGCAATGCAGAGAGACTCAGGAGAGAACGACAGTATTTTGTTCAAGGTCGAGAGAGACAGAGAAATAAATGGTGAAGGATGGACAGTTGGGGGGCCAAGGGGGTCAAACATCTTCCCCACAGTTAAACAAAAGAGACCTTCTTTTAACTGCTCTAAAATTCCTGCAGTTAAAAACCTTTTACAGTACCAAGATAGCCTGCACAAAAAGAAGATTCAGGTGGTATTTTAAACTGCTTCATTATGAATAACACAAACAGATAGTGTTGTCATGTTGTTGTTGCTGTCCACGGGGAACACTGACCAGGGAATATTAAAAATCCTCTTGCATTTTTCATCATGTCATCCTCTAATATTCTCACCATGCTATGGGATGTCCCACTATATATTAGTTGTTCACAGCTTCTCCCCATGTACTCTAATTTCCCCCTGCCCGTCTAGCATGAACACACACACACAAATACACAAACCTGGCTCAATTAGTCCTTCCTTCATCCTGTGGGAAATCAGTATATAAATAAATTACTCCGGCCCTTAATAATAATAATTGATGTGTCAGTGCAATAAGATGTGAGGTTAACAACCTGCAGATGCAGACAGAGCTCCTTGTGGGCAGGGGAGCCCAGCTGGTCATGGTTGGCTTGCCACAGCAAGCCCCTTCTCCACACCAGGCAGAGAGCAGACGGACAGCCCTGCAGGACTTACCCAGCTCACAAACACAGTGGGCTCGGCACCACACAAACCAACCCTACAGCCATACTGAGTCTCATTTCACCTTTGAAACCTTTCACCTTTCGCCCTCTGAATTTGTAACCTGTGAGTTTTTGGATGTGAAGGTATAACCAATTGTGTAAGCCACAGTTGAGAAATTATTGGATAGTGATGTGAGTTGTGCACATTGCAGCACATTTGAATCAGATTCATCTCAAGGAGGGATCCTGCCTGCTGCTCTGAGTTGCTGTAGGTCCACAACATGTCCGTCTTTAAAGATAAAAAGCATGCATTTTAAAGGAAGAACATGACTGTTAAAAGGGCACCATCCCCTTCTTGATAAATCATGCAGCAGTGGAATAATCCTTTTTATCTGTGCTCCCAAGAGTCGGGCCATTGTGGCATGTGGTTGCCTAAATGCTTCTCCACTATTGTTTAGCAGATTGTTTGTGAGTTATTATAGCCAGGTTAATGATGTATAAGACAGACTTCTCTGAATCACTGTACAGTATTTTGTTCATCTAAAGATATTTCTTCCTCTTGACAGTGATTATAACTCATTAAGCCACTTCACGTTATGCACGACAAGAGAGATATTAAAGAGAGTGCCATTTTTATTTTTCATAACCTCAGAAACATATTAAAATCTTTTTGACACTGTGAGGCTTTGCTGTTTTTCAAAAGTTTTTTTTTTCTATGCTGCAAAACACAATAATGCTATTCCTTCTGGCTTGGCGTGGACAAACCAGTCCATGGGTGTGATGGCCAGCTCCTGGCATGCCATCATGCCTTCCCTTTCACAGTTATTCTCCCCTTTCTTCCACTTAAAATCTTTGAGAACCATAACTCTAGAAAGGTAGATGGCCAAGCACCTACTCATACATACAGTAAAATATCTACATATTTTTGGCACACAAGTTGTCTGCAATTAATCAAAAGACCAGACACTGTGAGGCTTTGCTGTTTTTCTGATGGTGGAGCATTAAGGCTTTGAATGTATCCACTTCATCAACACATTTGCCTGAATCGAATGTAATTTTAAGTCAACACTGACGTGTAGCAATGCCAACATACTGGTTTTACCTGGGTTTTTAAAGTGGTGCTAAGTGAAGTAAATACAAAGTACTTACGTTTAATTGATTTAGAACAGCCTCAATAGCAGTGTCTAGCGAGTCTATAGCGGTCGCCGTTGGTCACTTACTCTTCCTTGGTTATGCCACACAGCTTCACAGTACTTGACGGCGTTAGTCCTGCCTTTGACTGGCTAATTGTTAGTCCCCCTGTGTCACTCATTGGATATTCGCTTTTTCAACCCAGAAACCAGTGTTTCATGTCATGATGCCAGACCAGAAGAATCAGTCAACCTGGTGGAGTGGGCAGATTTAAAATCTGGACACAGACAAGATCAGATAATGAGAATATTGCCGAGATTTATTCAGTGAAAAGTGAAGATGACAAGAGAAATAGAGAGAAATTCTGCTTCATAGGTCATAGCAAAGAATGTTTAAGGTTATATATCAAATTATATCATTTTAATACTATTTAGATGTTTAAAAGGAACAGATTTCTGCCTTACAGATATCCATTAATTGCAGGAAATTCCACTTTCACACTTTACTGTAAACTGTTCATATATGTCGCTGATGTTCAAATGGTCCAACAGATGGATCTTCTCATCAACATGCACTGCTGTGATGGAGTTTCTGGTGAGGAAATGTACAGGCCAGGAACACAGGTGAAAACAGGTGGGGTTGCTTTGTAGCCCGCCATCCTTCTTGTTTCGAGAACATATGGGGGCCAAGTGAGGTCAATGCACATTGCACGTTAGCACGTAGCCACCCTCCTTCTTCACTGCCCCCTCACACACACACACACACACACACACACACACACACACACACACACACACACACACACACTCAACTGGACCACTAGTATTGGCTTGGAGATGAAGAGAATGGAGATGCCAGCATCAACAGATGCCTTGCACTCCTATTCTGGAGGGGCTTCTGCTTTTTCTCCCTCCCTTTGAAATCCATGGTTTCTGTGTGCTGTTGTTCTCCATGTTTGGCTTAGAAATGCTCTGCCATTTTGGCAGGTTTTATTTATCTGCAAGTGTGTGAGTGAGAGGTCCTGGATTTGGTCTCAAGAGCCTCGGGGACAAGGGTTGGATGTTTAACCAGCCTGGAGTGGGTTTGTGGTCTGTGGTTTTTCCCTTGGGTTTCACTTTTTCTGTTTCTCTTGCTGCTCTGTGGTGGCCTATGGCGCTGTGCATCCAGCTTCTTCCACTGAATCTATTCCTCACACATAGTGGAGCCAAGATAACATCTCAAGAAAATCTAACTGTGACCTAGGACTGGCAGAGACAGGGGCTGTATAGGAAAACAAATAGGTGAGCTAGTTGTTGTATGGAAACTTAAATTTAATTAACGGTTGAGAATTGATGTATCAATATTTAAACATGTCACCACCCTAATAAAGACAGAACATTTGGCGATTAAAAAGCAAAGAAAGCATGTTGTATTGTAGAGGAATTTTGCAACGTGTTGTAATTTCAACTGATTTTGATATATTCCAGTGTTGTTGGGTGCAGCTAAGTTAGGAAGTTCTGTTTTACTAAATCCTTCAGAGAGGGAGAACAATTTTGAGATTTCTAATCAACATAAAGCAACAGAACGATTATAAGTATTACTTTAGAAGTAAAACAGCTATTGTACCATGCCTTTAGCCTTCTGAATATAGAATCATGTCATACCTAGCAACCACCGACAGCGTTTTTATTGAATTTCATATATTAAGGATCCACATGAAGGACTGTAAAATACAACCAGTTCAGTCTTTATTGTCCCACTCTGGAGATTTCGCTTCGAAAAACAGAAACACCAAAGCATTCATCAGTAAAACAGATGAAAAATATTAAATATGATTTGATGAAGAGTAACGATCAAACCATCAATACAATAACAAAAACTAAAATTACAATTGTAAAAATAGATTACAACAGGTAAGACCAGCAAGTAAGAATATGTAAAAAAAAAAAAAAAAAAAAAAAAAAGTAATAGGCAAATAAGTCTTTTGGTAGCTAGAAAGGTTGTAAATTAAGTGATCTTATCGCACATACTAAAAAGAAATGTTTAAATATATTGCACCTGCTGTGGGGAGTCTATACCTCTGCCCTAAAGTAAGCAGCTCAAACTCTTTTTAAGGGGTGGAAGCTATCAATGGCAATACCAAATCGACCAGAACAAAGAGAAATGTTGAGTTGTATTCATTATCATGCCCTCACTATGTGGGTTTTGCAGTATTTTCAATTACACGCCAGACAGAGATGATTAACCCCTGAGCTGGTGACCCCATGACCTACCAGGCAGAATGCAGAAGTCTGACTCTCAGTGTCCCAGATAGCTGCTAACTCTTAGCGTTAGCAGCTATCTGGCCAGAGTGGCGACTGAGAGGTCACAGGTTCAAATTCTTTGAGGACGGTTAGCTGCCCTTGAGATTTCCTCTGTCAGTTTTGATAAACACTTCACACACCTCACATATTGGTTTGGGGTTTTGGCAATTACACATAGTGTCAGTGTCATAAATAATGATTACAGCGAGGCTTGTTTGCAATTATAATTACAGTTATAATATATGGAGTTCAGTGTAATGGAAAGGAACTAGGGCTGCTTTCAGCTCGGGACAGGTAGTTATACTGTGTTTAATTACTGTAGTAATTCGCTTTGTTACAACCTCCCCTCATTCTCCCCATGTCCCACTCCCAGCTTAAAGACCTGCGTCAGTC